GGGAGTGGGCGTGGCTTGTCTCTTAAAGAAACAGAACAACCATTACAAATACAAGCAGATGGTATATCATCAAACTTGAAAAATAAACATATCTATAACTCCATATTATATACATATAAACATTTATAAATAAACCTTTGGTAAAAATAGATGCCTAAGAAATATAACATTAAGGCCATTACCAGTGAGGTTCAGAAATTCAAACCTAAATTCTTTCCAAAGCAACCATTAATTATCCTGTAGCTAAGTTTTCCTGGAAGGTAAATGAATAAGAATATACATACAAGATTATGTCATTATTGCTGTTAAGGTAATAATTCTGAAGTCATTAGTTGCAGTGGTCGATGTATTTGACAGAAGCATTTAACTCTTGTTTATTATCTAAACCAAAGAAAATTTAGGCAATAATGATCATTGCCTAAATAATATTGGTAAAAGTAGAAGAAATAATATTGATTAAAGTAGTGTTTTCTCTTTCTTCTCCATGTAATACGTAGCACAACTCATGGGACTTTTTTTTGCTAAATATTCTATATAAAAAAATGTTATATGTTAAGTTATATGTCAGAAAGTGTTATTTTTTCTTCCATAAATATGATCATTGAGCCAGGTAGTGGTGGCACATGCCTATAATCTCTGTAAGTTCAAGGCCAACCTTGTCCACAGAGTTCCAGAACACATTCCAAAGCTACAGACACCCTGTTGAAATTATTCAGCCACAGATAAGTCTACACTTCTGGGTTCTAAAGGTGAGCACATGCAGACGGGCCCTCAGGTGAGATGCCCCCCTCCGTGTGCTTACATGCATGCGTGCATGATTATATCCATGTATGATTCAGCTAAATCCTTGTGTGCATGTGTGAGTTGACTGTTATCTGCATTATCAGTGTGTGACATAATCATGCCAACCCCCTGTGTGCATGTGCTAGGCATCTTTTAAAAGCTGAACGTGCCATCTCCCTCCCTCCCTCTCTCTCTCTGCACACTGATCCCAAGGCTTGTAAGCAGCCCCTCTAATAAACTCCTAAGTGGTTTTGTTGCATGTTCCATGTTTCCTTCTCACTCACACCAGGTAATTTAATTGTTGCTAAGACTCGAGAGGTGCTGCCAGGAGCAATTGTATCTCACTTCAACAGAACCCTAAGTTATTTAAATGCCATTTTCTACAGCTATTTGAAGTGGTTGAAGATTATCTATCTATGCAGAATATAATCTCAATGTATCTAAAGAACCTGATTAGTTTAACTATAAGTATGACAAACATAGATGACTATTGATATAATTCTTAATACCTATATGACTAATGCCCCCAGGGATATTAAAGGGCCCCCAAGTGATTCATATACATGTGTGGTTGCATCATCCACATATGACTCAGCTTAGTCCTTGTGTGCATGTATGAGCCCCATCATCAGCACATGACATATCATCTCAACCCCCTGTACACATGTGCTAGGCAGCTTTTAAAAGCTGGAGTCTCTCTCTCTCTCTCTCTCTCTCTCTCTCTCTCTCTCTCTCTCTCT